CCCTAATCCCCTAATCCCTAAACCCCTAAACCCTAAACCCCTAAACCTCTAAACCCCTAAACCCTAAACCCCCAAGATCCCCAAAATCCCCAAAACCCTTATAGAAACCTTATAGGACCCTCTATAGATCCCTTTAAGGAACCCTAAACCTAAACCCTAAACCCTAAACTCCCCTACGGCCTTCTCACATTCTCCGATGCCCATCGAGCCAAGCCCTCCTTCGGCGATCTGCGCGCCGTGCTTGGCCACCTGAGTTTCAGGGCCGTTTTTAGGGGCCTTTGGGGGTTCCTTAAAGGGATCTATCGAGGGTTCTATAAGGATTCTATAAGGGTTTTGGGGATTTTTTGGAGTTGAGGGCAGTTTAGGGGCCTTTGGGGGTTTAGGGGTTTAGGGTTGAAGGGTTTAGGGGCCTTTGGGTTTAGGGGTTTAGCGGCTTAGGGTTTAGGGGTTTAGGGTTTAGGGGTTTAGGTTTTAGGGTTTAGGGGTTTAGGGGGTTGAGGGGTTTAGGGTTTAGGGAAACTAAATTTATGGAAGTTTAAGTAGATCTTCACGACATCCTGAAGGTTCGAGCCTCCAAAGCACGGTGAAAGATCCAGACGTGAACGTCTAGCGACTATGAAACCGAGCTGAGAGCCGTTTTAGGGGCCTTTGGGGGTTTAGGGGTTTAGGGGCCTTTCGGGGCCTTTTGGGGTTTAGGGGCCTTTCGGGGCCTTTTGGGGTTTAGGGGCCTTTTGGGGTTTAGGGGTTTAGGGTTTACTACCCCACATACAGTAACAGTCTATAATAGGGCCACTATTAAGGGCCTTAAAAATCCATGTTATTATGAATATTACTCAACTGTTGCCAAACTAACACTTCCAACTCCAGCGGCGGCAGTGGTCACGAGGAGCTTGAACAGCTTGGCCAGGGTCTGCACACTGTTCGGAATTGTTGACTAATTTTAATCTTAAGAATTAGAATAGGGTTTTGGGGTATTGCGGACAGACGTCTGAGGCGAGCACTGCTGACGATGCCTTGTGAATCTGTTCAAGGACTAGCTGAGAATAGGGTTTTGGGATATATTAGACTCTCACTGTAACTATAATAAAGAACCCCCCCAAACAAAAAAAATAGTATTGGTAACTATATAAGCCCCTATATGAGGGGGTCTTGGGCTGGCCCGTGCCTGAAGCAAAACAGAGACTTGCAAGTTTGTCGTTCTCTGAAAGGCTTTTTCTTGGTGGGAGGCTTGCTTACAGGGATCTAGAAGTGAAGAAGCGGAGAGGATCAAGCATGAAGACCAAATAGTACCAGTAAAACTCAACATATAAGAACATACCCTACAAATAATAGTTGTAGTAACAACAACAAGAATGATAATGAAAACCCTAAACCCTAAAAGGTGCTCTGTTTTCAGATCGTGCCTTGGGGTTGTGGGAGTTCAGCTCCCGCTCCACTTCGGTGACGTTGACCGCGTCCTGACAAGGGGGCACGGCCCGTTAAGGAAGACTGTACCTAGTCTCTAAATCCCATAACTCCTTAACCCTAAAACCTAAAACTCTACACCCTAAACCCCCTAAACCCCCAAACCCTAAACCCCTAACCGTAAAACCCTAATTTCTCAACCCCAAACCCTTAGACCGTAAACAAAGTCTCTTTTGCCGGGCTTGATTCGAAGCCTCAGCCGCGAACCCTGTGCAGAGTTGAGCGCGGACACAGACTGACAGACCAGACCGCTCCAAAGGTTTAGGGTGTATAGGGTTTGGGGTTTAAGTTTAGGGTTTAAGTAGGGGTTTAGGGGTATAGGGTTTGGGGGGTTTAGGGGTTTGGGGTTTAGGGGTTTGGGGGCTTGGGGGTATAGGGTTTAGAGCTTAGGATTGCAAATCCCAGAAAGTTGGAACATGGGCTTGGGAGGATTAGTGCCAGGATCGCTTATACACTTTACCTTAACCCTATGCTTCCAGGGACCCTATTATCGGGTCCTTAAGGGGCCACAAGGTCCTTGGAAGCTTTGGGTAAGGGTAATGAGGATAATCTTGCTCAAGCTTTCTGGCTTCTACTACGAGGGTTTCCGTACCTCGTCCATCAAGTCGGGCGCCACTTTCTGGACCTCCTGGATTTGGGGTTTATAGGGGTGATCCGGCTTCACACTTCTAAACCCTAAGCCCTAGACCCAAAACCCTATAACCCTAAACCCTACAGGGTATTTTTGACCCAAAAACCCAACCCCAAACACTACAGGGTTTTTGTAGGGGTTCCTGAAGCAATTTGTTTCTTTAGGGCTTCCTCGATGCACTTCTCAAGCTGCTGCCGCTCGGGCTTCGTGAACTTCTGCTCGAAGAGCCAGAAGCCCAGGCGTTCCTTCCGACTACGGCCTATAATGAGGGTTTAGGGTTTAATTAGGGCTTCCGACTACGGCCTATAATGAGGGTTTAGGATTTAGGGCTCCGACTACGGCCTATAATGAGGGTTTAGGGTTTAGGGCTTGTCCTAAGTACATATATAGTAGAATGTAGGGTATCTACGCAGAGCTTGCTCTAATCGGTTTGCGTAAGTAAACCCATCTAGTTCCTATACTGTAGGTGCTTAGGACCCTTTGGGTAAGGGCTACAAGGGTTTCAGGTTTAGGGGTTGGGTTCTACATGATTTACTTGGAGGTTCATGGGTAGACATAAGTGGGGTTATAAGTCCTTCATTTTGGGTTAAAACTGTAGCTATCCTACTCATAACTCCACTTCTCACCAGGTAAGGGTCATAACAAGGGTCCTTTCATGTAGCGGTAGCTGCCTTATGGGATAGTATTTGGTATTGAGCCTTCGGGAAGAACATTGGTATTTTTTTGAGCCACTGTAGTACCTCAAACCAGTACCAGCCATTGAACGAATGACCTGAAGCTTGTTGGAAGCTTGGCACTCGAGCTGACTGAGCCCTTCCCAGTCCTGAAGAGTCCACTCGCGGGAGCCTGACATCGCGACAAAAGCTCTCTAACCAAGCAGAAAGCCTATACCCTAAACCCTTAAACCCCACAAAACCCCTAAAACCCCTAAAACCCCAACCCTAAACCCTAAACCCCAAAAGCCCCTAAAACCCCTAAAACCCCAAATAACACACACCCTCGCCTGAGGCCCCACGCACCACAGCGCCGAGATCCTCTGAGGTGAGGCTGGCAATGCGCTGCAGAAGGCTCGGCTTCTCCGGCTTCTCCATGGAACCCATGACCTGCCTGGTTTAGGGTTTAGGGTTTAGTTTAAAAAAAATGCAGTAGGGTTTAGGGTTCTCCATGGATTGCATGACCTGCCTGGACCGATCGCCAAAAGTTGGAAGCTTGAAAAATACGCAGGTTCATATTATATTCAGAGATCGATGGGAAAATCATACTATATATGAAACTGTCTAAATAATAGTACTGTTGTTGGTAATAAGAGGTTTTTGTTATTGTTATCGCAATCGCTTTGTTGTTGTTGCTGTTGCTGTTGCTGTTGTCGCTGAGGTTGTTGTTGTTGTTGTTGATGATGTTGATGTTGTTGTAGTTGTAGTAGTAGTAGTAGTAGTAGTAGTAGTAGTAGCTGTTGTAGTTGTAGTTGTAGTTGTAGTTGTAGTTGTAGTTGTAGTTGTAGTTGTAGTTGTAGTTGTAGTTGTTGTTGTTGTTGAAGTTGTTGTTGTTGTTGTTGCTGTTGTTGTTGTTAGTCGTCGTCGTCGTCGCCGCAGTAGTAGCAGTAGCAGCAGCTCTACGGACTGGCACTCTTCATCCAGCTCTTGGCGTTGGAACAGGTAGTCTCTCCTAGCTAGTCCCGCGGGGCCTTGGGCCGTCTTCTGCAAACCCGCTGGCTCGGCCAACTCTTTTAGCCACTGTGGACAGCCTTCTTCCTCTGCACATGGTTAGCACTGCTTCACTGGAAAAGCGTTGACCATTTGCACATGCAATGCCAGTTAGCCTGTGCGCTGCATCAGGTCGTCCCTCGACCATACGTCACTGTCACAGGTACGCAGTCACATGTGAGCGGCCAGCAGCTGTACATAGCGACCGAGCCTTTGTACCGAAATCTGAGTGGCTAAGAAGTTCATGTCTGCGTCTTGTCTCGCTGTCTTGCTTTGTTTCACTGTCTGTAAGTCCTAGCTTAGAGAGTGCCGGAGCGGCAATGCCCGCGATGTGCAGAGTACGCTCGCACTGCGTCCAATTGCAACATTGTTGTTGTTGTTGTTGGTGGTGTTGTTGTTGGTGTTGTTGTTGTTGTTGTTATTGTTGTTGTTGTTGTTGTTTGTTGTTGTGGTTGTTGTGGTTGTTGTGGTTGTTGTGGTTGTTGTGGTTGTGGTTGTGGTTGTGGTTGTGGTTGTGGTTGTGGTTGTGGTGGTGGTAGTGGTAGTGGTGGTGGTGGTGGTGGTGGTAGTGGTAGTGGTAGTGGTAGTGGTAGTGGTAGTGGTAGTGGTCGTGGTCGTGGTCGTGGTAGTGGTAGTGGTCGT